TGAAGAACTGTAGGACTTACAGCAGTACGCCTACAACCCTTCTCAGGTTGACGCCCTAGGTTGGAAAATCGTCGCAGAGTTCATTTGCTAACTTCCTTCTATCAGCTATATCCTCAAATCTGAACGGCAACACGCCCATGTCATTGTATCGTAGAATATAGATGACCAACAAACACACGACATATCTCATCAACCAAGTATAGAAACAGAGTAATTTACACCAAAGATAATAACATTCAAATAGTAACTTGAAACTAGAAATGCCTTTATTCGTGCAAGTCAATTTAACAATAACTCTCTCCTTTACACTTGGCTTATCCACACTAAACTGACCATTGATATTCGTCCTTTCAAACGAACTGATACTACCATAGTCATTGCACAAGATACTTGAGTTGATGGGTGTCTGTTTCATTGTGGATGACAGCACCAACGATGACTGAGTGACACAAGGTGATGAACTTAGTGGTGGATCAGAAGCTGTTCTTGTTCGGCTCTCAGATAGTTGTCCAACTGCAAGATTACCACCACTGCTGTCTTTCACTACTAGTTCGGGTTTAGCACTATCATCTGATGATAGGTGGGCTACACGCTGATCAATTACACTGACTGTCTCACAAGTATGCACACCTTTTGGAACTGCATCTGCGTTCAATTCTACTTCACGTTGTAGTTGTACAGAACCTTTATTTAACTTAGCAGTAGTAGGCATATCCCTCATCTCATAATGATCAACCAAAGACAACTGTGAAGTATCATGATCATTATCACGAATATTCACTTTACCGTCAACTTCATCATTTTCAAACTCTTTAATAACAGAAGTAGACAATTTTGGTTCCTCCTCGCAAATCATTAAAGGTTTTATAACTTCACTCTGACTAGTAATACCTTGTAAACTTTTGGAGTCAGAACTGCACTCTGAAGCAGTAACTCTATTCTGTGACACTCTATTCAACAACGGCTTACCAGTTGCAACTACAGACTTCTTCACAACACCGTTATCGTCACACAATTCGGAGTCAGACCTGGAGTTTACATTTAGCTTATCACTGAACTTGCTCACTGGTTCACAGTTCACTTCTGTATGCACCTCTTGCACACGTGTAAAACAAACCGTGTTTGTCTTGCATCTTGTAACTTATCTGTTGAGGATGTACTACGAAACCTGTTACACTCACTAGGTCTATATGCATTACTAGACATCATGGAGTCTTCTCGATATCCACCTCTCTGAGGCTTATTCGTCATCAATGAGTGCGTTTTACCCTCAGACTGCTCTATTCTAGGGGTGAGATCTAACAGACTGGAAAACTTGCTCATAGATTGATTGACACTAGTATTTACCAGTTTCAGGATATCATCAAACTTTGGCTCGATACCCTCATCCTCCATACGGGAGCTCATCTTCACCCACTTCCTTTGCAGTCGAGTAGGTAGACGTCTTGCTATTACTTCTAGTATAAAACTCGAGTTGAGGTCACTCATGCGATTCATCGAAATCATTCCATTCTTGTAAATTAGCAAATTATCTAAAAACTCAGTGAGTGCCTGGGAGTCATCCTGTAATTGACCACCATTACCCTTAACAGCCTCGAATAATTTCCCTGCAATCATCGAAGGTCTTCCAAACCTTTGACGTAATATGCTCATAGCCTCGTAGTAGCCCTCTTTTGGCTTCATAAACTTACAGCACTGTATAGCTCTTGCAGCATCTCCAGTGCAATATCTCATCAAATACATTAACTTCAATTCATCATTTAATAAAAACCACTCAACATGATCTCAAACTCCTTTACAAATTGTAAATAATCAGCCGGGTTTCCATCAAAACACCGTGGTTCAAATTTAGGGAGTTTGATGTTCCTATTATCCCTGAACGGCGAAACAGTAACATCAACCATGTCATGCTTAACATCAGACACATCGTTACAATTAACAGACAAGTCACCATGACTTACTTTCCTGTTTGCATCCAAGACACTCTGTCCCTTCTTTGACCCAGGCATTGTTGAACTTGACCCAATTCCAAAAAGTTCCAGATATTGCTTGTTCAAAGAGGACTTGACCGGCACCAGGAAAATGAACGGCGACTATCCAAACTTTCACCAACTGTTTGAATCCGCCAGATCTGTTTCTATCGTCAGAAACTGTCAATCACGTCTCATAAACCGTTAATGCCCAGCTCTCGCTACGCTCGGGCCCACGCTGTTCTTCGAAGATTTCTCAGAAACGCTTAGTTATAACGGACGCAAAAACCAAAACACCGATCTGCCGCTTGAGATTTGTTTATTGTTACACCAACATATAAAAGGAATAAGCGAACTAAGGTCTGTAAACAAATATTACAATAATAAATCATATTACTTCTGACGATGTTTCACTCTTCTTTCTGAACAGCGACCGATGAGACGATGACTGTCGTATTGATGCCTCCGCGAAAATTGGGGAAGTTGATTTTGAGCAAACAACCAAGAATTGATCGTTCAATCTTCAACTCCATTGACAATGACCTTATCTAGCTTTGCATCTACGATCAAATTTCTTTCCTGTTATGAAACTACGATAAGACTGCTGAAAAAATGGAATAAATATATCATTGATCTCAAATCTCATATAACGCATCAATAAACTTTAAGCCAAGGGTGCTGTTCACAACAAAGTTATAAGGGGAACTGACTTCGAGCTTTTTTCCCCAGATATTTGTATTACATTCATGTGATGTCTGGGTTTTTCGTTAATGCGAAGACAATATTTCTATATCACTTTATGTGTTGCACAAACAGACTTTATAGCAGACTGTTCCGACTGACTCTAATGTCAGAAATAACAACCAAACTGTAAGTTGATCATACATCAAATTATGTTTAACTTATATAATAATTTATCCATGCCTGTGCGGTTGGTATGTTCCTGCGTAAACAGGAAGAAATATGTATATATATACTATGTATGACGACATTTAGTAGATTGACAATCTGCAATGAGGAAAACAAAAATGTAACACTTAGGACGCATGTAATTCACAAGGTAATTATTTTAGATTAGCGTACTAGAGGGATAAAAAATCACTCGTATCATCCACGCCAATTCACACTTCCTTGTGTCAGCGTCACTGACTTCGGTTTCATGGTTTCTTCGGCTCACTTTAACTGGACAATTTTAGGAATTAGGAATATACACGCTGTACCTAGGAATAGTATTTATAATTGTTTAAACCAGCTAACACTGTGGTGAGTTATGACACTTGAAAATATTATATTTAGTTGGAAATAAGCAGAAAAACTTCCATCGGAAATGCTTTGATTTAGCATATAGACTATATGATAAAATAAACCAACTCTTGAGATATGACTAGACGACAAGTGTCAAACAATCTTGAGTAAGAGATTATTTTCAGTGTCGATCACGTCTCAAAAACCGTTAATGCTCAGCTCTCGCTACACTAGGCCTCGCGCTGTCCCTCGAAGCCTTTCAGAAACGCTTAGTACTAACGAACGCAAAAATCAGAACACAGATTGGCGACTCGAGGATTCTTTATTCTAACACCAACATATAACCAGTATAATAAACTAAGGTCTAAGAACAAATATTACAACAATAAATCACGATATTACTTCTGACAGTTTTTTCTAGGTTCTTTCTGAACAGCGACAGATGAGACGATGACTGGCAGATTGATCACCTGCGAAAATGATGGGGGAGTTGGGTTTGAGCAAACAACCATGAATTGATCGTTCAATCTTCAACTACATTGACAGTCAGATTACTCTACTTTTCAGTTGGGCAAGAACCAAATGACAGAAACAGGTCTGTCTTTTGTTGAAATTTCGGTGACTATTATCCACTTCTTATCAGCTCGTTGTGCCTAGAATACATGTTGTTCTGACTAAGTGACTTTCAACATAGAAGTTGACACACAACCGTGCTATTTATTTTTAAATTTCTTTAAATTTTTGATTACGGCTTGATTCTACACCGTATTTTTCGGTACAGGTAGGGAATTTTCCGCATGTGATATCGGTAGCCCAAATTCTGCAGGCTGATCATAGATATCTGGTTTGCGTCGGCAGGGGATGGAACCCTGGAATATATGCATGGTCGCCGAGAGTCATAACCCTTGTGCCGCCGAAGCACATTCCACAATCCATGTAGCACACAAAGGTAGAGAAAAAAGAAGTTAAATGAAACTCTAATAAACACATAAGTGGAGGAAAACGAGTAGCGACAAGGAAAAGCATTAGTATTAGTCAGCTTACGTATGATTGCATCTGTGCCAATAACAAGGATTTGGAGTCAAATCCCTACCTAACACCATACGCCTAAACCCAATATTACTCATCATATTATACTACTTAACACAGAGTATAGGGCACAGACACCTACAACCAAACACCAGTAATCTTTTACCTCTCGCAGCTTCAATGGCCACTTCTCGCAAACTAGGTGGATTATATCATCAGCACACTTTAAAATGATGAGGCTGTTCCCTTGCACGTCCCGAAAGTCAATGACAAACAATTCTATTAATACATGTATGATGAAATCCAACCAAAATAAGGAAGACCTGTGTAGGAATGGGCCTTCTATCACATTCTCCTTGGGAATATGAGTATTCTCATAGTTTAGTTTCGGTAATAATAGTGTATATTCTCATATAAACATATAAATTTACATGAAAATGCATGCCAATTTTACAGGCACGATCAAGTATGATATAATATCAAATCGTAGATTGTCTACAACTTAATAATGTTTCAACAGTTAAATATTTGATATATATATATAAATACACATTGTCTGAACTAGGCTGTATAGTTATTGAATTGTACAATTGTCTTCCAGGTTGAGCGGGAAAATCGACTTCGTTTCGTTTTCATCCCGTGGTTGTCGGCATACGATAACCAACCAATATTGAGGTAAGTACAACGTTTACAACGGATTGAAAGCTGTTTTTAGAAAAGTAAAAGTGCTAAGGTGAATCAATAAAGTGTAATGAAATGGGTAAGTGCAAGTATCACTAATAAATGCATTAATAAAGAAAACTCCCTAGGCTGACAACGTTCATTTGCAATGTATAATGCTACGCGTATATCTCGTACTATCATGATGTCCACTTTTGGTCTTAATACATTTTTTCCTTATGTCGGTTTTTTTATTTTATGCTTTTTTGTGCATTTGGTGCACAACCGTACCTCACAGAGAATAGGAATAGAATAAGTCGAATCAAATTCATAAAGAGCTATAAAATGTTAGGTTTAATGGGATATAATGAGGATTAAGTAAAGACGTTATTAGAAAATGAATGGAATAAGACATTGTGAAGTGGTATTTAAAGATCCGACAATGGACAGCAAGTTGATTTATAAGATGTCACATAAATCTGTGCAGATCCCACATGGTCGCATCTCAACAATAGGCTGAGCGAATAGTATATATTTAGAGGTAGAAGCATGATCTGTCAAGGCGTTCATTATTATCTTTTTCAAGATAAAGATCTAAGCCCTCATAAAAATCAGAAATATCTCGAGCCTTTAATTTGTATATTGCTGTTCCTGCAGAATGGGGCGATTCACCTTAGTGACCCCCACCATATCTACTGATCAGCTAACGCCACCCTCCCTCCTTTTATGATGTTAAGCTCTGAGAATATGATTATTATGGCTACCGCAAATATACTGCTTGGTACTAGACATGTTCGTACCCCATATTCCATCTCCCTAGCTTTCTTAATGAGTGCTTCCAATAGGTCTCCACATACATCTTTATGAACATTATATATGTATGCATGCGTCCTAATGAACAGATTACTTTACAAGAAGTTAAAACCTTAAAGAATAAAAAGAATAGGTTTTGTGAATAGTGAAGCAAGATTCAGCAGAACAATATAGTTAGGGATCAATGTAGGTAGTATGAACTGAAGGTAAGGTATTAAGGGAACAGAATGCAATCCATAGGTTTCATGAAATTTACAAACTGATGTACCATTTTTCAAGAAACCCAGTTAATGTTCCCTCAAGAAAGTGAGAAATGAATATTTTGGTTGTGTAAACTCAACAAACTTTGAACTGTTGCCAGCATAAATGACAGCAGTTCTTGGAATTACAAGTTATAATCTTAGCTTGATGGCAACAATGGCAACAAACGTCAAATCTATACAGTAAGTATATAAGACTTAGTAAAACATATACACTTTTTATTTCACTGTAAAGTGTCCACGCTAATTCTATTGCTATGGGGGCCTACAGAGTCCACAAGTTAACTCATAACACTGAAGTAGAGAAGCTTCTATTTGTCCTTATGGAACCCAGTATAGAGTCTCATTCGGTAATTCCTGTATTAATAATTGTCTTACGCTGAAGAGAGGTGCATAATTCTTTGCTTCATCTGGAATTACAGTGTGTGGAGTACGTAAGAATATAACTGTACACTTTTTGTTAGTTGTAGAAATTAGAGATATTGTACATGATTTTTGTTAAAATACACTTAACTTCCGTGTACTATTGGAAATACACTTTACTGCTGTGAACTCTCTGGCCGCTACTGATTACTTGCTCCACTCACACCGTGTTGTATACTTTGGATTTATTTTAGGAGTCTACTATCCTCATCCGAAGACAACTCTAAACCGGCACACAGCACCTTCCCAGCAGACGCAATTCCAACAATTAATGTTCCCGTGGATTATATACATAATTTGTAGCAGAGGACTTAAACTTTACATCCAAGTAATCCTTTTTATTAATACAACTCGTTACTGCATTTTTTTGATAATACATTGTTACTCAACATCTCATTGACTTGGATTATTATTCTCATATTTGTTATGTTAATGAGCCCTCACAACAGTCGCCTACAAGTGTAACTTGATGTACAGTAGTATTTATACGAATAAGGTGAGAAATAAAGTCTCCCTTATTTTCTGAACAATTCATCTTTATTAAATCTATGAACCTATGTTATGTTTGCAAAATCAGAATCTTAAAGCTATTTAGTCCTTCCCAAAATAATGGCCGCTTGAAAAACACGTTCACAACAGTGCTGCGCACTGTGCCCATATTGCTAATACTGTGTATCCTAAAACAAGATACAGACTATGCAAAGTAAATTTAAAATAAAATTGATGTTGAAATTGCGCTGTGAACACCAACAAGTACCAAACCAATTAGGACAATAGCGTTTCATCAAATAGGTCATGTATAATAGCGTGGTTTCATCAAAATACAAATTTGTACATCTAAATTTTGAAATTCTCACCTAATTTAATCCATCACAGTGCTCAAATATCAGTATCAGGAGACATTTCTTGACACAAGTGCAGCGAATGCAACGCAATTCATTTGGAATATGCTGCCGATATTATATACGCCGTAAAGGTTTTCCAATGCAAACTTCTATTTAAAACCATATAAAAATATCGCTTGTCACTAAATCATCATAGAAACAGTTAGCGGGGATATGCAATAAAGCCCCTCGTTCTTTCGCCTGGTAAATAACTCTCGGAACCAGCTTGAAGTGTTTCAGCTCACAAGATGTTCACAAGAGAAAAAATGCTGAATAAAAGTAGATAGGTACAAGTTGAAAGCCTTCTGTATCCAGTGAACGACTTGAATCTGCAAAAAATGAATATTGAATATAGCTTTTAAGGTCACCAACTCGTCCGCAACGCTTGGATATTGCGTTACAAACAGTAAGTTTCGGGTTTTGGTGACATACTCTGCAAAGCATACGTTGTCTAATGATGGAACTGTTTTTTGAGGATTTAGCGCTAAAATTAAGACTAAGACTTAATGAGATTTAATGATTTCAAAATTTTCCCGGTGTTACATTTCAATAATTAGTATAATAAACAGATTTTTCTACACCTAGTCGAACAAAAATGGGTAAAGGATGGTTAAAATGTACACAATAATGGGCATGAGCCCACTATTCAACAATTTTTTGCTATTTTTGCTCGGTTGGGTACATAAATATATGCGACACCTGCACAACCACATCAGGGAATATATCCATAGGACTAATATACTACATGAAGCCCAAGGCAGATCCTGCGTTACTAGCCTACTGTCAGCTTGGGACGACTGGACATCATGCTGGGACATGAATGTACCAGTCCATGTGGTCTTCCTAGACTTTGAGAAGGCCTTTGACACTGTTCACCATGACCTCCTACATAAAATAAGCCAGGCAGGCATAGGTGAGCCACTTCTGTCATGGTTAAAGGACTACCTAGCCGACAGGCAATTTTGCACTAAGGTTAACCGAGTCCGATCATCTTGGCACAGATCGTCATCAGGAGTGTCGCAGGGTTCTATCCTAGGACCACTGATGTTTTTGATTTTCATCAATGATCTACCACGCCGTCTGAGCTGCCCGACTCTCCTGTACGCTGACGACGTAAAAATATGGAGGGCGATAAAGTGTCCGGAGGACTCAGATAGGCTACAGGAAGACCTAAACCTTCTGGAAGACTGGGCGGTGGCCAGTGGCATGACTTTCAACTTGAAAAAGTGCAAAGTAGTGAAGTTGCGCACCTGTAGACTGCAGAATGCAAGTTACACCCTGTGCAATGAAAGCTTGTCCTGCACAACGTCGGAACGCGACTTAGGTCTAGTTCTAACGGAAAAAATGGACACAAGCGTAAATTACACAGGGGATGTAGCGAGGGCATATGCGGTCATACACTTTACGCATAGACAGTTAGGTGCACTCACTCCTGAGCTCTTTCTAATGTTGTACAAAACATACGTCAGGCCACACCTTGAGGTGCATAATATTATTGCACCCCCAACGCCAACCTCTTGGAAAGAGTCCAACGACGGGCAACAAAAGGAGTGGTTGGTCTCCGAAACAAACCATATGATGAAAGGCTGTTCACACTTAGTTACCGTCGGCTTAGGGGGGATTTGATTACTGCCTACAAAATAACAAATGACCAGAATCACCCAAACAAAGGTGTTCTGCCATTGAGTAGGTATAGGCTCCCACGTGGAAATCCCAGAAGGATAGCTCACCAGAGGGCAAGGACCCGGGTGCGCTCCCACTTCTTTTCACTGCGGGTTTGTCGTCCCTGGAATTCCTTACCGGCAGATGTAGCTATGGCACCGTCTTTGGACGCCTTTAAGCGAAGGCTGGACAACCATGCAGCGATACAAGGACTGCATCCAAATGGCCTATCTCCTTAAAATCGCATTTACCAATCAGGGTAGATAATTAAACTCGTCGTTTTACTTCTTTACATTCTCTCCCGTCTTACTCTCCTGACAACTTATTAATATTATAATTATTATTACTATTATTATTATTATTACCGATATATATATTATTCTTCAAACTTAATGAGCTGACTGTTGTTACGTTTCCTATTTTCGTTTCTGTCTCTTAGTCTGAATAACTTCACTAATTATATCTATTATTACTATCTCTTTTCTCTTGTCGACGATACCGAAGGACTAACTGGCGAAAGGATCAACTCCAATCACAGTAGTAACAGTCTTAACATACCTCATACTACAAACCACATATAATTAATCCCAGCACTACTCCCTTTGGAGTCAACCAAAGCTACGACAGTCGAGTGGCGGGACAAGCTACGCAGAAGTTTACCGAAGATCAGGAACCTATACCTCACAATCAAGAAGCGAGCACAAAGAAATCAAATTGGTTTATACTAGCTCGTAAAAACGATATTGGATATTGGAAGATTACATGACCTTTGACAATCAGTTAGATGCTAGTATCACATCAAATTAGATTACACCTTCCGTTCTGCATTTGCTAAATGAGTTCCAGCAGGGTTGGGTGTCAGTATACTGTATATGTCGGCACAAATACTTCCCATTTCCTCATAGGTATTATTCTCTGAAAGAATAAGCCTTTTTCTATTCACATTTATTTTGATGGGTCAATGATCTGAGTGGTTGTTGAGATTGCACCCGGAGTGTAGTGTCTATTCTCTGTAGTTGCCTGTGAATGTAGCTGAGTGACGTTAACTACATGTAATCACTCCACTTCCATCAGCAGAAGCTGTGTATCTCTGAAAAGTCATCACTCCTCTCTATATATACATGTTATATTTCTTCCTGTAAGACTACTGAAGTTTTTTGTCTGGATTTACGCCATATTTGGCGTAGACGTGATATCTGGCTTTCGACCAAAGGGCGTGTGTACCGCTTAGCAGTTCTCTGTACTCGTTTATTTTGTGAGACATGGCCATTGATGGGGGAAGATACGATAAGGCTAGTTGCCTTTGATCATAGGTGTCTGCGTTCTGTCTCCCATGTGAACAATGTTGAGGTTAGGCGTTGAGTGCTAAGTAGGTGTGTGTGTGTGTGTGGGGGCGAGACATCAGTCTACCAGGCTGTGAAGTGACATCGATTGTTGTAATTATGATGTGTGTTACGTATGCCTAGCCATCTCCTACCTTGCCAACGGGCAGTGTTAACTGACATAGGATGTATCGGGTTGGAAAAGAGCTAGCTAGTGGTGGTGAAAATAAAACATGGCTTCATCAGTCAACGAAGTAAATCCACAACAGTTAGTTTAAGTCACGTAGGAAGGTGCAGGCTTCCTGACTGTTTGGAGTCCTCGGGAAGGTAAAAACCAATGAAGTCTGGAGACAATTGGTGATATGGTTCAAAATCGTTCCCTGTGGCTGGGACATACGCATTCACTCTTTGTGACTTATCACATCCTATAGATCTCTAGTGTTCGTCCATATTACTATTCTCCTCCGCTCACACTTATGTTTATTATCTCTCTTTTGAATCTCTTAACTCTCTTTTCTTGCTTTATGTGCTACACGGAAGGATTCTGGCAACTGAAACTGTTGCACATCTGTGCAAAGTTCTGTGTTGAAACCAGTCGGATATCTAAATATTTGCACGTTTTTACTATGGGCTTGTCTGTTTGGTTTTTCAAGGTCATTTTGATAGCTATTTTTTTGTTTTTGGGACGCTATACTTTAACCAGTTCACTTATTTTATGAATTTTAGGTAGCATACTTGTGTTACACAGCTTAAAAGTTGTTGATTTAACTGAAGTGTAATGTGGTACACAATTTCGAATAAATGTAATTTTTGCCAAAATATTGTTGATCTCCATATGGATTCCTTTTCCTCACCATTCTAACAAGACTGTCTTCGGTATGTGAGTGGGAATATTGTGTAAAACAGTTAGGAATATCACTTAGTATGATTTTTTGAAAACAAACGCAACCTACTGACCTAATACATCTTTTCCATTCCCCCTAAAATATAGTTCTACTAGCATCGTGTGTTGTGTTTTGAATTATATTTTATAAGTCATTTTAACTTATATTTGGCTTGTGTTAAGACTTATGGTGTGCATTAACTCCTCACAAAATACTGTCAATCAAGGATTTGATAGTATTAAGTAGCTTTTATTGGAGTTTTGCTAATTACAAGTAAATTTTTCTCCTTTTATCATACTTTCATTGGGTTCCGGTACTTCGCTTTCTGTTTGCAGAATAAACATTGTTTGGGTGTTCCCCGCCTTTATATACCACGTTCCTACTTACATTTTACAGTGGTTTTTAACAATGTAAGTTCCACTCTCCTTCTGTTGTGAATATTCCTAAAGATGTGTAGATCGTTCAAGATGTGTAAGTGATTAGAAATTTTTCATTCCAGCCTAGTATGCTTTGTATTCACCAATGAAACTGTTATCATCTAGTATAATAGGTATGCAGTACTATTTCTTTCAAGTCATAAAGGAAATGGTGTGTTCAGTATTGTTTGTTATACAATGATATATATATATATATATTCACTGGACGTGGATACTTTCCGTCTGCTTGGGAAAAAGCATCACCTCCATATTAGTTTGTTTATTAGATGTATCACATAGTGGAGTGACAGTATTATTTACTGGATGACACTGTTTCGAACAAAATTTATTACTGTTCATAATAATTTCATCAATTATAATCACACTATTTCAAAACTTGAGTTTCATAGTTTTCTTTTTTCTCTCCTATTTGTCGTCGTAGAGGTAGTAGAATTTTCCAGATATCCGAATGGACAGGTGTTGAGTCACTCCTATTACACTACTTACTTTACTTCGGCTATCTCCTACGGGAGGATGAGCCGGCTTCATGAACGTCTCGAATCATCGCTGCCCAGGCGCGGCAATTTGTAAGAGAGTTCATGAAGTTTCATGGGAATTTGGTACGAGTGATGTCCCCAGAATCACTCGGCCTTTTGTTTGAGAGTGCAGCTCTAGCCTTTACACAACCAAGTGTGACCTACAAGGCAGTAGGAGTGGAGTAGGGAGTCCACTAACCATTGGCAGCCGGTGACCGGAGTCCGGTTCATTCGCCTTTTTGAATGGGGCCAATCATCCAGGGCATCCAATAAGCCCTTTGTCCATACGTCTGCCGGTGAGCTCCAGTGAGCTTCATACGCCAGTCGTTGGAGGTTTGGAATCAGGGTTTAGCCATCTCCCCTAGACCGTCATCCAATGGACAGTCAACCCGGTGGAGAGCGCCGGGCATCCGCTCCTATTACACATATACTCTTCAGTTGATTCGGTAAACAAAGCTTCTGCCATCAGTCTCTCCCTCCACCGTGTGACATTAGATTTTAAAACTGTCGTCTTATCCCATCCAGCCTATTGTACGGTTGTGTGTAATTGCATGTGCTGCACTGGTATAACTGAACTCTTCTCTAGACTTCTTATCTTATTCGAGTCAACCAATCTAGATTTTGTTGGTAGGTTTTTATGTTCAGCTAGTCTGACTGCCCCTGTTCTACTAGTTTGACCTATGTATTTGACCTGATAGTCATTGCAGGTGGGGTATGAGATAAACTAAATTGTTTTGTTTCAAAGGCTCCACAGGATCCACCATTTAACCGACAAAGCTTGTTTCTAATTGAGTTTGTGGATGGTTTCAAGGCCAGCCACTTTTATTCCTGCCTTGTTGAGAATTCTGCGTAAGGTTTCCGTGGTTCCTTCCTTGTATGGAATTATTACTGATGATTTAGATTCCTTATTGTTGGTGTCGTCATTAATATTGTTATTATTATCACTTATTATCATCACTATTATTATTATTATCAGTATCACTTCTATCATTGTTTATTTTATTTTCACATTTCTTTACCTATTTCCTGACTGATTTATCCGGGTAATTATTAAATTTGAAGGCTTCTTTTATGTGTATCACTTACTGTCTTAGATTTTCCTTGGTACTACTTATTTTTTGTGCTCTGTCACTTAAACATTTCACCGAAATAGGATTGGTGGAGCCTTTGAAACAAAACAGTTTAGTTTATCTAATACCCCACCTGCAATGACTGTCAGGTCAAAAACATAGGTCAAAGTAATAGAACAGAGACAGTCAGACTAACCGAGCACAAGAACCTAGCAAAATCTAGATTAGTTGACCCAAATAAGATAAGAAATCTAGAGAATAGTTCAGCTATAGCACTACATGCAGTTACATACAACCATACAATAGGATGGATGGGATAGGATGACAGTTAAAATCTAATACGACTAACAGAGTGGAGGGAGAGATTGATAACAGAAGCGCTGTTTATCGAATCAACTGAAGAGAATACGTGTAATAGGAATGATTCAACACCTGTCCTTTCGGATATCTTGAAAATTCAACTACCTTAACGACGAGAGAGGAAACTATAAAACTCAAGTTTCGAAGTCGTGTGATAATAATTGATATGATTATGAAGCACAGTTGTGCGTCGGTGGGTTAGCCGTTAGGACTCTCGCCGACCATTCATATGGTCCGGGGTTCCATCCCCGGCCATCGACGCACTCTTTTACCTCGCTAAGCCAGTAATAGAGCTGGTAAAGAGGAAAGGTTGGGCATGAGGCTAGCAACCCCATCCTGTAAAATAAACACTGCTACAGAAACTTCAAGCCACTAGCTTGAAGTCCTATGTTCCACTGGGGAACGTGAAGGAAAGAAAAAAATGAACCACAATAAATTTTGTTCAAAACTGTGTCATCCAGTAAATAATACTGTCACTCCACTGTGTGATACATCTAATAAACAAACTAATATGGAATTACTTACCACCACAGTGTCCAAGTTTTGCACATATATTAAAAAGCATCACTATTTGGTTGGTAAAGAAAGGCTCAAAACCGTAATTTATTAACCAAAAGAAATGCACCATAACTTTATCACCTATTTTTACAAAATCAGTTACTGCCGTTTAACACATTACCCACCCACCTATGACTTTTTACAACCCAACCGAGGTAGTTTTAGTTCAATGGTACTCTTTTGTCCACATTATTCAGTCTTCATTTCTTTTAAAATTTGCATTATTTTCTGTGTTTTTTTGTTTTGTTTTCTTCTAAGGCTTTTCCATAAATGCCTCCGGATATTACCGAAAGTTGTTCATTGCAAATACTCCTTGGCTATTGAACGTTCAGCAATTGACAAATTACGATCATCCAATAAAGATGTGATTGTTGATTGCACAGCCAAAGAAGGTGTGGCTTTTCTTGCAATGAATTATCAAACAAAAAAGAATGCTCTTAGCAAGTCGTTTGTTTCTTCTTTGTCAGAGGCTGTTAAAGAGCTAGAAATGGATAGCAAATCAAAGGTTGCTATTATCTGCAGTTTAGTAAGTCGACATCTATTTTTACGTAAAAGTGTATACCTTTTTTTTATTCCTTCACGTTCCCAGTGGAACATAGGGGTTCAAGCTAGAGGCTTGAAGTTTCGTTAGCAGTGGTGTTTAGTTTTACAGGATGGGGTTGCTAGCCTCATGCCCAACCTTTCCCCTTTATAAGCTTTATTACTGGCTTAGCGAGGTAAAGGAGTACGTCGGTGGCCGGGGATCAAACCCCGGACCACATGAGGAGTGATCGGCGAGCATTCTACTGCTGTGCCACCAACGCACACAAAAGTGTATACCTGCTTATTAGCAATATATCTAGCCTAAAGAGTTATATATATATATATATATATATATATATATATATATATATATATATATATGCGTAAATAAAAGTAGTTCATAAGGTTTTTAGTGGTAGATTAAACGGTAAATTTTAGTTCGCTTAGTAAAAATGTAAATTGAATGCTTAAACCATTGAGTTACTTTTGTTGGACACTAGTAGCTAGTGTGATGTGTCTGACTAGTCCTTTGTGTAGTGCAGATTGAATTTTATTAGTCAGGTTGACTCGCCATCATGATGCACTTTGAATTATTGATGTTAGATGTTTGGAGGCAATCGGCCACAAGAAGCCTTGCTCGACCTAGGTTTCTTGCTAGTTGGCACTTACCAGTTAGCAAGGCGTATGTGTAGCCTTGAAGGAATTCATGTCCTTCAGAGATTCGAACCTGCGCCACCCTCTGTTGCAGTCATAGACGTTACTACTGAGCTGTTCAGGCTCGCGATTGGCCCTTTGTAGGAGTGTATTGAATACTTGTGATTGGACACTGGGTGATACAGGTTTCATTCTCAGAAGGGATATGAATTCTTTCAAGGTTGCAGATACGCCTGCCTTTCTGACTGGTGAGTGCCAACTAGCACAAAACCTAGGTCCTGGCAAAGCTTCCTGCCGATAGCCTGCAACCGTTTAACACCATTATTGAGTTATTGCTGTCCGGTGGCATGCAATAGTTGTTTTTTCATCTCGAGATACTCTCAGTCAACTTAGTCTGTTTTCAAGTATTGGTTTTGTAGGGATTGTGTTTGATTGATTTGATGAAGAGTTTCGTCATGAGCTGACATCAGTTAGAGAACCATTGGAAAACCTGGGAGTACTGAACAGATGTTTCGTCCTAGTTTGGGACTCTTCATCAGCATGCACCCACACCGACGGGTTCGAACCCAGGACCTCCTGGTTACAAGGCGAGATCGTATACCATTAAGCCACTGAGACCCGATCCAATGGCCCACGAATTCTAACTTCAGCCAATTCATGACATAGTGCGACCCCAGCCAATGTCTTCGGTGAGTATTTGTCCTCACACCCGACCTGCTGCACCCTACTGGTCACGACTTCCCACTGGAACCCCAGGTAACTACCCACCTGTATAGGGACAGTCGCTAGTGAGCATCTAATTGATATTCAAGTGTTGGTTGTTTTATGATGAAAATCCTGTAACCAATCAAATACCTACAAACCAACACTTGAATATCAATTAGATGCTCACTAGCGACTGTCCCTATACAGGTGGGTAGTTACCTGGGGTTCCAGTGGGAAGTCGTGACCAGTAGGGTGCAGCAGGTCGGGTGTGAGGACAAATACTCACTGAAGACATTGGCTGGGGTCGCACTATGTCATGAATTGGCTGAAGTTAGAATTCGTGGGCCATTGGATCGGGTCTCAGTGGCTTAATGGTATACGAGCTGGCCTTGTAACCAGGAGGTCCTGGGTTCGAACCCGTCGGTGTGGGTGCATGCTGATGAAGAGTCCCAAACTAGGACGAAACATCTGTTCAGTACTCCCAGGTTTTCCAATGGTTCTCTAACCAATGTTAGCTCATGATGAAAATCCTGTTACTCTGTTTTCATTGACTGAAGTAAATCGTTCATTTCACTTCGATTTTTGGTAAATATGTGTATTCTTAAGGTTCACCAGTAAATTATAAGGCAGCCAATTTAGAAACAATAGGTAGAGATTAAATTTCGTTCAGTTAGAGATGGTCGTTAGGGGTTTAATTAAAATGTCAATTCAGTTTTGTTTTCTGTCCAATGTATGTGTACTAACCATAAATTCAAATCATCAATTTTTAGGTTCCAGGTGTCTTCTGTGCTGGTGCTGATCTGATTGAAAGAGCAGAAGTTCCAGACAAAGATACGCCAAATTTAGTTGCAGGACTTCGATCTCTATTCCAACGTATCTATTTATTACCAATGCCTACAATAGCGGCTATAGACGGTGCAGCATTCGGTGGTGGTTTAGAATTGGCTTTAGCCTGTGATATTCGTTATGCTGGAATTCTTGCCAAGTGTCAGCTGGGCTTGATTGAAACACACTGGGCTTTATTACCTGGTGCTGGAGGTTCACAACGTCTACCAAGATTGATAGGAGAGGCCAAGGCAAAAGAGTTAATGTATGCTGCGGCGAGAATCACAGCCGAAGAAGCAGAACACTTAGGTGTTGTAAATTCAGCTATCAGCCCGAAAAGTGTCCCTTCAATATGGTCTGATATGCCGAGTTTATATCATTCGCTTCAGTATGCATCTAGAGTGTGTACAAAAGGTCCGATAGCAGTTCGTCAGTTGAAAAAAGCTGTTAATGAAGGTTTAGCTGTTGGGTCACTTGAAGCAGGATTAAGCATTGAAGGACAATGCTATCGAGTTCTTGTACCGACTAAAGATCGAAAGGAGGGAATGTCAGCGTTCAAGGAGAAGCGGGAGCCTGTGTATCATGGATGTTAAATTCATAGAATGTTAAACTTATTTTTTGCATTTGACATTATCAATCACTCACTACCTAACCTTATTCCTTTTCTTACTAGTATCTACAATTTTGTTACACAAATTTGTTAGTGTTTTTTTAATAAAAAAATTCTTACTGATTTTTTGTTAGTTGAACGCTATGATTTTATATATTTATGAATAAAGAAAATTTGTGAAAAATTCATCGCCTTATTTCATTCTTCTTTCTCATGTTGTATGATCTTTGGGGCGGGTAGTTGTCACTTTCTCCTTTTTAGGCGTGAATGCATACAATATTAATAATGATAATAGTATGAAATATAATTAAAACTAAAATGTTTGTGATTATACTCATAGTTAAATGTCAAGTGGGAAAACAAATTAATGTCATAAATGGAATAATTCATAGGATGGCTAGAACTTGAAAAAGGGTGTGCAATTATAGGATTAGTAGACGAATCGAATAAAACAAAAAAAAACGTTACGTTAACTTATCAAGGAGGATCGATAGAGCTCTGAAGAGATCGATTTATCGTAAGCTGTCATGGAATGGTCAACTGACAGATTTCTACAGCTGGGTACCCCCTTTGGTCGAAGACGAAACCTGGTCCGGTCGCTTGCCACTTGTATTCGGCGCATATGTAGCTCTGATACTGTGGAAGATGAGTTATACATTTTGAGGAAAATCCTAATAGAAAAATGGATTTCCACCACATTTTATAGATAAGAATATACATTCAAAGCCTACAAAACGCGACTTATCAACCGTACCCAAGAAAATACTTTTCAGGAGCTTGGAATTCAAAAGGGACTTAGCTTCCGATACCATGAAACGAAGGATGTCACAGTCCCTGAAAAGAACATCCCCTGCTGTATCTCTGAGAATAGCCATTACTAGCCGACCATTACTGTTCAATAACCTGAAGGACAAGATCCCGCTGCTGACCAACTCTATGTGTGTTTATAAATTCACCTGCTCTTGTAGAGCTAGGTATATCGGTCGTTCGACTCGAGACACTATCCTGCATGGTTACGAAAAAGTGGAAGTGGAGCGATAAGAAGCACGATCATTGAACATCTGGTCGATAATGATCACCCTATCTCTATAGCCTCCGCCTTTAAAGTCATCTACAAGGCAAAGAGTAATTTACCCAAATCCCTACGTACGCGACTCATCTGTATTGCTGAAGCTTTGGCTATCGAAACGGAAAAGCCAGATCTCTGGTTACAGAAAAAGTTCGTTCAACCCCTCCAACTTTCATGGTCTTAATCCCTCTATGCTAAAATATGGTAATCCCCAATCATATTTTAGCTCTACCAATTTTTCATTTTGTCTATTCAATTTGTATACTCTTCCTTATTACGCCAATTGTTACTATTACTACTCTCACTTTGAAGTGTCTCCGGTATTATTTCACTTGTTCCACTTGTCATTCTAAATCAATTCGTTTTTACAACGTTAAATTCTATGCTATTAAATTTCACACATTATTACGTAACGTTTTTTGTTTTATTCGATTTGTCTACTAATCCTATAATTGCACACCCTTTTTAAAGTTCTATCCATCCTATGAATTATTCTATATATGACATTAATTGTTTTGCCCCTCGTTGACATTTAATTAGGATTAAAATCACAAACATTTTAGTTTTAATTACATTTCATACTATTATCATTATTATTATTGTGTGCATTCACACCTAAGATTCAATTCCCTCACCGGATATAACTTCTTAAAAAAAAACTTTCTCTTTTACTCTCTTCATCTATTTTAAGGTGTTGTAATTCCAATTCATCGAATGATACAATGAAAGAGAAGCTCTTCACCAACACCACCACCCACATCACCAACAGCAACAACAACAATCATCATCGTTATCCTGGGCATTCTCGTTTAAGAGGATTATTTCTTCATAAATTGCCTTCAGTCTTTGTCGGCTTCTTTGGTATTTACGTATTTCTGCATGGATTTCTCCTGAATCGAGCTGAGCTTGATAATGTCGCAGGTGTCCAACCTGAGGAGTTATCTAGACATTATCCTATGTCTACTGGGAGACAAAGTCGACTTATTCTGTTACTAGTCGATGCATTGGCTTATGAATTCATTCGAGAGGATAATAATAATAATAGTTTAATACATAAATATTTGTCAACAAATTTCCCAAAATCTTATTCTTCATGGCTTGAAACTATATCTAAGGCTTATTTTACTGGTCAGTTTATTGCGGATCCACCGACAACTACACTGCAACGGTTAAAAGCACTGATGACCGGTACTATGCCAACATTTATTGATGCTGGGTCAAATTTTGGTGGAAGTAAAGTGATTGAAGATAATTTATTGAAACAATGGAAGTTAGCTGGTAAAGAAATTCTATTCGTTGGGGATGAAACATGGATTGAATTATTTCCTGATTGGTATGTTGAATCAATTAAATTGTGTATTAGTGACAAATTTTCCCTTATGCTATTAATAATATTAGCAGTTGAGTGTATATAATTAGATGTAACTCCAATATCTAATGTATATTAGATGGTTCGAAGCCGTCGACAGTAAGACTTGGACGTAGGTTTCGTGCTTGTTAGCACTCGTCAGCAAGGCTTTTCTGCAATCTTCAAGTCGTCCATGTCCCTTCTGGGATCCGAATCTGTGTCATCCAATGCTTCATTCAGTGACGTTATCATCATTATTATTGTTCCCTTGGGTTCCGAGTGGAATACAGGGCTTCAACAACACATCTCCATCTGGTTCAATGATTGCCCATAGTCTCCCATTTCCCCCTCGCATGATCTCCTCCATGTCACCTTAGAAACAACACCCAACTCATGGTTTCTCATTGGAATCGCATTCGAGTGCTAATCTAGCGCGTGACGTCATTCGATGGTCTCCTCAGTGTGTGTCTTATCCATTTCCATTTTGTCGTACATATTTATTAAGCTGTCGGCTCTTGGTTGGATTGTTCTCAGTCAGAGTTTCTTGTCGCTAATTCTGTCTGGCTAGCCATTTTGATGTTCAGAATGGAGCCGGCGAAGGGGTCAGCTGCTGTTAAAAGTCTATAACTATCTGGAAATCGTTTACTTGACGCACAGGCCAAGTTTCTGACCTGTGTAGACGAACTGACTGACTTGACTTTGCTGTTGGAAATTCGAATCTTGTTCTTTATGCTGATAAAAGCGTATGTTGCCCGTTCCGATTCTGCCTGGCTTTGTGACATCGTCTTCCGCTCCACCTGTGGTTGAAACAATGCTTCGTAGGTAAGTGAAGGAAGTAACCTCTGACAAATCTCTCTTGTTGATGGTGATTGGTGGTTGTTGTTGTTGCTGTTGGTGGTGGTTGATTATCTTCATCACCTCCATCTTCTCTATGTTCAACTGGAGTCCTGTCTTCGCCGCCTGCTTCTTCTACCAGTTTGTTGGCTTTCGCCTGCCTGTAAATCTTCGAGTTTGTATGACATTAAACATAAATCATCCACGCATGAAACCTAGGTCTTCTAGAGTCTTATTATTGGTGCAGTGTATTCGTGTCTTCTTGCTCTGTACAGTCTGATGCATAATCGAGTTCATCAGTCAGTGATGTTATTACCTAGCTAGCTATTCAAGATTGTTATTGACCTCCTGTAGGACTGTAATGGGTACTTCGATTGGACACTAGGCTAGGAACTGATGTTATGTGTCCACTGTCTGTCTGTCTGTTTTCGACATAGAACTTTGCACAAATGTGCGGAAGTTCAAGTCGCCACATTCCGTGTAGCGCGCGAAGCAAGAGAAGAAAGTACAAGAAAAGCATAATAGAAACAGTGAGCAGAGGTGTGAGACAAATGAGTAATAAAGAAAAACAAAACAGTTTCATTGGAGACCATAAGTCAAAAGGAGTGGATGCATCTGCGCCACTGAGAACGATTTTGAGCCATGTCACCAATTGTTTCCAACCATAGATTTTTACCGTCCCGAGGACCCCAGCCTGGAAGTCTACACCTTCCTACGTGGCTTAGACCAACTGTTGTGGATTTCATTGACTGATGCCAAGTTTTTGTTTGACCGCCGCTAGCTTTTTTCCAGCCTGACCCTATATCCGCTAACATTGCCCATTGTCGAGGGAGGCGATGGCTTGGCATACGTAACACATGTCCTAACCATCTCAGTCTTTGTAACTTCACAACCTCGTCGAGTGATTTTCCCTCCTACTTACCTAGCACTCGACCGAGGCCTAACCTCAATATTGCTCACCTTATTATACCACTTCACATGGGAGATAGAACTCAGACACCTATGATCAAAGACAGCTAGCCAAGTTTTTCATGTCTTCTACTTTCAATGGCCAGGTCTCACAGCCAGCTATAAAGGAGGACGGAGCGGACTGATGAGCAGTACACCCGCCCTTTGGTCGATAGTCGAACATCTCGTCTACGCCAGAGTCGGCGTAAACTAACAAATGCGAAACGAGCCCCTTGTATTCGTGCTGAGATTTCGTCGGAGATCAGCCCGTTGGGGCTGATGGTACTTCCCAAATAAGTGAAGCGGTCAACGTGCTCTACCACTTCACTTCCTATTTTTAAACTAGGCGTCGATGTAGTTTAGTCCTGTAACATCATCTTGCATTTGGCGGGAGCGAATCGCATGCCAAACATTCGTAGATTGCGGCTCAAGGTGTTTAGAAGACTCTGCATTTCGTCAGCGTCTTCGCCTAGAAGGACTATATCGTCTGCATATTCCAAGTCAACGAGATTATTCCCCGGTAGCAAGTCAATCCCTGAGTCACTGAAGTCACTTAGGGTTAAGTCCATTAACACATCTATGATGAAGTTGAATAGAAAAGGAGATAATGGGCATCCTTGACGGACACCACTGGTCGTCATCAGTTCAGATGACAGCTCGCCGTAAGCCCTCACCTGGCTGTATGAGTACGAGTAGAGTGCCTTAATCAGTGCAATATATTTTCTTGGAATTCCCTTTACAGCCAAGCATCTCCAGAGAACTTCCCGATCGACAGAGTCGAATGCTGCCTTTAGGTCAAGAAATATAATGACTGTTGGACGCCGGTAGGAATGCCTATGTTCTAGAATCTGTCGGAGGGTGAAGATATGATCAATACACCCTCTTCCTGGTCTAAAGCCTGCCTGGCTCTCTCGTGTTTGTGCTTCCCGAGCACCACTCATGTGTCCACGCCTTCATTTGACGCAGAACTGACTGACAGAATTTAGTCTGCACCAAACAAAGGACTAGGCGCATGACACAAGTTACTACCATAGTGTCCAATCAAGGTATAATATGTATTTCTGAGTGAGAAAATGTGTTTATGGTTCTGTTCGCATTCTCATATGGCATTATTTATATTTCTAAAATCACTGAAGTTTGTACACTTTGTGCTAATAAAATACCAACACTGAAGTGAACTGAATTTTCAATGTAAAACTTTATAGAAAAGTGCAGTAGTTCAAATTATCATACATCATAAAACAAACATTAAGTTAGACGGAAAGCAAAATCACAGTAAGTGGAAGTGTACTTGAGGAAGAATAACTACACGGATAACAATGTGGATTTAGGGAATCTAGGAGAATTCAGGAAGTTACCAACAGCTTCTAGCTTCGACCAAAGGGCGGGTGTACTGATCAGCACTCCTTTCCATCCTCCTTTATGACTGTGGGACCTGGCCATTGAGAGTGGAAGACATGAAAAGATTAGCCGTCTTTGATTATAGGTGTCTGCGCTCTCTCTCCCATGTGTGTCGAGTGGTATAATAAGGTGAGCAATATTGAGGTCAGGCATAAGTATAAAACTTGGGCACTTTGGTAGAGTATAAGTTCATTATGGATAAGATTTTATTTCGATAAATCACACAGTGTTGTACAGTTATATTAACTGATGACGTTTCGAGCACAAACTATTGCTCATAATCATATCAAGTAACTCACACAACTTTTTTCTTTCATTTATATACATGGGTGGAATCGATTAGATATTGGATTTAGAATCAGTGTGAGATAATATCCATTCAGAAATAATAGTACGAGTGTTACGAATTCATGGACCGATCATTGGATCGGTCCCCAGTGGTTTAATGGTCTACGAGCTAGCTTGCCTTGTAACTGGGAGATGTTGGTTTTGGACCTTGTCGGCGGATGAGTGCTGTTGAAGAGTCCAAAACTGGGACGAAAGAACTGTTCAGTACTCCCATATGGTTTTTCAATGGTTCCCTAACCGATGTCAGCTGCTGTTGAAATCCTGTTACCAATCAAATCCTTGTAAACCAACACTTGAATAATGAATAGTGCTCAGAAGTCACACTTCTATAACTTATGCTAAGAGGTCAAACGTACGAAATTAATCAATACAAGCGGTGAAAAGTTGATGATAAATAACTAACCAGTTACATAATAGTGTGTTGAGTTCAACTCAATTTACAGAGAGATAAACTAAATTATGTTGAATCAAAAATGTACCAAATAGCTTACGTCTCAAAGCAACAAATGTTTTATAATAGTGCCATTGCCAGATATCTTGTTCATGCGCTTCATGATTTCGACAACATGAAATCCTTCAAGATTATTAATAGACAATATAACTTTAGGATTTCATCATGAGCTGACATTAGTTAGAGAACCATTGGAAAACCTGGGAGTACTGGACAGCTGTTTCGTCCTAGTTTGGGACTGTTCATCCCTACGTACCCACACCGACGGGTTCGAACCCAGGACCTTCGGGTTACAAGGCCAGGTCGTATACCATTAAGCCACTGGGACCCGATCCAATGGTCCTTGAATTCTAACTTCTGCCAATTCACGACATAGCGCAACCGCTAGCCAATGTCTTCGGTGAGTATTTGTCCTCACACCCTACATCTCTACAAACCATCACTTGAATACCAATGAGATGCTCACTGGCGACTGGCCCTATTCAGGTGGGTAGTTACCTGGGGTTCCAGTGGGAAGTCGTGACCAGTAGGGTGCAGCCGGTCGGGTGTGAGGACAAATACTCACCGAAGACATTAGCTAGCGGTTGCGCTATGTCGTGAATTGGCAGAAGTTAGAATTCGTGGACCATTGGATCGGGTCCCAGTGGCTTAATGGTATACGAGCTGGCCTTGTAACCCGAAGGTCCTGGGTTCGAACCCGTCGGTGTGGGTGCGTACTGATGAAGAGTCCCAAATTAGGGCGAAACAGCTGTCCAGTACTCCCTGTGGCTGGTTTTCCAGCGGTTCTCTAACTGATGTCATCTCATGATGTGAACTCCTCCATCCAATCAGAAACAAAATTCCCTACAAAATCGATAGGATGATCACTAGTATGATAATTAATGATTTCGCTTGATTTTTTTCTTTTTAATTTTTACAGTTTCAGTCATTATAAAGCCTACCCATCATTCAATGTCAAAGATTTAGATACTGTTGACACTGGTGTTGAAAATTACATCCTTCAAGCTCTTGGCGTCAATGATAGCCACATTCGTCAAGATGATTCTATTACAAGTAATGTTCAACATCATCAACAAGAAGAAGAACAACAGCAACAGGGCAAACACATACACTGGGATATTCTCATCGGGCATATGTTAGGCATAGATCATTGTGGACATACATATGGACCATTACATCCAGAAATGATGAGAAAGTTAAGTGAATTGAATACATTTATAAGGTGAGTAGTTGTGTTTTTGTTTATATATATGTATATAGAAATATGATTGTTATTATTATCATCATCATCTTCTACGTAATAAATACACATACATAATTAGTCTAATCGTTGTTAAGGTAAACAAACACTTCAATGTTCAATATTCAGTGATGCATTAAAACAATTTTATATATATATATATATATATATATTATTGACTGAGTATCAGCTTTCATTATTGAATATAATATGGAAGTAAACATGTGATATAGATGAAACTTCTTAACAGGAAATCAACACATATTTGTAGATTTTCATGTACATTATTATAGATTATTGTTTGCAAAGAAACACAGTCTTCTGATTGGTTGTTTCTCACTGAAAGTTAATCTTTCATCTCTTTTTTTGGGTGTTTCTTGAATGTCAGATCACCTATATGCTAACTGTATCCGCCTAAGCAATATCTGCTGTGGTTGGTTGTTGAATCAGTCTTTGTACAAAAGGAACATATGAGGTTGATAATAGTGAATTAATTATTAAAGTAAAAGCAAACTAAAAGTAAAATTAAAAATTATAAAAACTAAAATTATTTTCTTACAGGGAACAACTAGTGAAGAGGCTAAGACCGAGGTAGAATAAGAGACTGGACAAACTTTCTCTGTATATAGTGTTCGGGGTTGCATTGACGAATTGCCAGCGCCTCCACCATACGTAAAAGCCGAAACCTGACGTCCCTTGTACCATTTGGCCTCATCTTGTAGATAATCTTGAAAGACAACTCCGGTGGGGCTGCGTGACTTGAGTTCACCAAGTGCTCGAGAAATGAGCTAGTAACTCATGCATTGTCCTTTTGCTAACCATACCGGATAATGTTCAGAGATACGTTTGGAAAGTGAGCGCTTTGTGTGTGGTCAATATAGCTAGCTCTACATGAGCAGGTGAATTTATAAACACACATTGAGGTGGCCCATCCATAGCGGCAGTTTATCCTACACACATCCATTGATCATTTATCGGCTGTAGAAATTGGACTGGAGAGACTCAGACAAGTCCTCATAGAGAATGGATTACTATTATATCCTTTAATTCCTAGAGGAACATAGGGCTTCAGCTGCACATCTCCATTGCCTTTTGTTATCTACCCACTTTTTCACCCCGCTCCAAGTCTGCCCACATGCTTTCATCTCCTCTTCACATCACCTCCTCCAAGTCAGCCTTGGATGACCAACTCGCCGCTTCCCTTTCGGGTTCCAGTCGAGGGCTTTTCTAGTGATGTCACTTGATGGTTTCCTCAGCGTATGGCCAATCCATCGCCATTTCTTCCTGCCTATTTGTTGCACAATCAGTTCCTGCTGGGTTGGTTCGCTCCCAGAGATCCCTGTTGCTGATCTTTTCTGGCCATCTGATCTTGAGGGAAGTATAGAGCGAAGACAGCTGTTGATCAAGGTCTGTAGTTTGTTTGAGATGCTCTTTATGACGCACTGGCCAGGTCTCTGATCCGTATAGTAGCACTGACTTCACATTGGAGTTGGAAATCTGGATGTTATTTTTGATGCTGAGTGCTGTTGACCTCCACACAAACTTAGGAGAAATGAAAGCTTGTCTTGCTTTTCCGATTCTGGCTTTGATATCCTCTTTAGTTCCGCCTGTAGTTGAAACGATGCTTCCCAGATAGGTAGGTAAATAAGGTCGTTTCTCTCTGGTTCCTTCAATTTATGCAGGCTGATTGTTGTCTGTTGTTGTTGTTGCTGTTGGCCAGGAATCTTCATCACCTCTGTTTTATCTATGTTCACTTGAAGTCCTATCTTTGATGCTTCCTCTTCTGTGAACTTGTTGCTTTTCACTTTCATATCTTCCAGTTTGTGAGAAATCAGACATATATCATCGGCGAAGTCCTGATCCTCCAAGTCTTTTTTTGTGTGAGTCCATTTTATGTCTCTTTCCTCATCTCCCGTTGTCTGTCGCATTATCCAATCTACTGCAATCAGGAAGATCATTGGCGATAGTAGGCAGCCAGCTTGTCTTACTCCCGTCCTCACTTCGAAGGACTCCGTAAGTTTCCCGTTGCGGATAACTTGTCATGCAGCATTGTCGTACAACTGTTGGATGAGATGTATAATTGTCAACGGCACCCCTTGGTAGTAGCGAAGTAGTTTCCAAATCACCTCTCGGTCGACGCCGCACTATAAAATGCCTTTTCAAAGTTGATGAAGTTGAGCGAGATAGAGAGGTGACTGGTATTCCAAGCTTTGTTCAATGATGATTCGTAGAGTGGCGATTTGATCAATACATGACTTGTTTCTCCTGAATCCAGCTTGTTCCGGTCGAAGTCCTTCATCTAGGGCTTGTTAGATTCTCTCCAGAATGATTCGGCTTAGCATTTTGCTTGGGATGGACAGGAGCATAATTCCGCCCCAGTTTTTGCATTGACTTAAGTCTCCTTTCTTTGGTAGTTTGAACAAGTATCCTTTCTTCCAATCCTCAGGTACTTTGCCCTCCTTCCAGCAATGGCGTCATCAAGTCCGCTGTTGTCTCCGGATCCATTTTCAAAGTTTCTGCTGGGATTCGATCTGGTCCTACCGCTTTTCCAGCTTTTATCATCTTGATTGTATTCAGGACTTTTGATTTCGTCGGGGACGATGTTAACTGGTAGTTCTGCTTCCGTTGTTGGTATTGTTGGGCGCGTTTTAGGTGGCGGTCGATTTAGAAGTCTTTTGAAGTGTTCAGCCCAATGTTTTCTTTGCTCCACCTTTTCGGTGATTGACTTTCCATTGTCATCCTTTACTGGCTTAATCTGTGTCGAACTTTTATCCGATGGGTGCCTAGTTGTTTGGTAGAGTGTGGCGAGGTCTCCTTTACCTGCAGCTTGTTCTGCTTCACTTTCCATGTTTTCATAATATTTTCTTTTGCCTTCCCTATCACTCTTCTTCACTCTTTTGTTCAGTGTATTGTAGCTTGGATTCAAATCCTGTTTTTGTTGCTCGTCAGTGCACTGGATAATGTTTTGTTTCACTGTCCTTCTCTCTTCTATTAGTTTCCAAGTGTCCGCAGTGAGCCACTGTTTGTCCTGCCTCTTCTTTCTGCCTATAACTTCCATGCAGGTTTGACTCCACACTGTTTTCAGGCTGTCCCAGTGCTTTCCGATGCCGACCTATTCACTAGTGTTGATTTGTGTCTCCGCTTTGTCCCTTATGCTTGCAATGAAGATGTCCTTTGTATCTTGGTCCTTCAGTTTTTGAGTGTTGAACTCAGCTTGTGGTCTATCTACAGCTCCTGATTCCCTGAAAGCTTTTAATTTGATTTGGATTGTCCCTTGTACGAGATAGTGGTCTCATTCAATGTTTGCACCCCTCACAGACTTTTTCTTTTGGCGCAAAGAGATATATCGTACTGAAGTTTCTGTAGCAACTTTGTTTACAGGGTGGGGTTGCTAGCCTCACATTTGAGAAGGGAATTGTTACATTAAGATAAAATTTAGATAGAAGCGACCTTTTGGGTTGCTCTCCTTAAAATCGGTAAACAATGGATAAAACAATCTGAACAACACCAGCAAAAGGAAAATAATTCACAGCAAAAAGGGCAAAAAGCGACAACAACAATACAAATACAACAACATGCAATACAGTTAAGCACAGTTAACTAAAATGATACCAAAATCATCGACTCTCTGACTTGTATGTCTGTCTGTCTGTTTTCGACATAGAACTTTGCACAAATGTGCGGAAGTTCAAGTCGCCACACTCCGTGTAGCACGCGAAGCAAGAGAAGAAAGTACAAGAAAAGCATAATAGAAACAGTGAGCAGAGGTGTGAGACAAAGGAGTAATAAAGAAAAACAAAACAGTTTCATTGGAGATCATAAGTCACAAGGAGTGGATGCATCTGCGCCGGCCACTGAGAACGGTTTTGAGCCATGTCACCAATTGTTTCCAACCATAGATTTTTACCGTCCCGAGGACCCCAGCCTGGAAGTCTACACCTTCCTACGTGGCTTAGACCAACTGTTGTGGATTTCATTGACTGGTGCCAAGTTTTTGTTTGACCGCCGGTAGCTTTTTTCCAGCCTAACCCTATATCCGCTAACATTGCTCGTCGAGGGAGGTGATGACTAGTCATACGTCACACATGCCCTAACCATCTCAGTCTATGTAACTTCACGACTTCGTCGATTGATTTCCCCTGTTTACCTAGAACTCGACGTCTAACTCACTGACTTGGGCCAACTTGAACATATAAATCCAACAATATATGCAATTACAGATATGAGTTAGTGTTAAAAAGTAACAAAATGTCAAACGGTTTGTTATAGGTATTAGTAGTCAATAATATTACATCCACAGGTTTAGTGTTCGAAAGTAAACGGATTCTAATAATTTCCAGAACTTCGTGGTGAGATACAACAAAGAAATGAGAGTTCTATGTATCTAAGCAAAATGTAACGCACTAATTGAAAAGCGCGCACCACCTTTTTAAAATAAGTTTCATGACTAATGCTTTCGTTATCGCACAGAACACAAGCTTAGTAGGGTATGGTTGAGTTTTTGTACTTGCTAGTGCAAGCATATAGTTTTCTATATATTGTTCGGTTATATGTCTTGTTCTAATATTCTCTTCTTGGTAATTCGCACATGACATGAATAAAGTATATTTAAGCTGTAAATAAGTTTCAAAAAAATTTGTTTTGTAATAATTAGCCTTAAAGATTACTAAGTTGGAGACAATGCATGGGTGTGTGGGGTGGTGGTGGTAGTCGGTTGCATAATTCACCGTTTATTTCACTGTCAATCTGTCGAGTGTTTAATGTGCTTAACACTGACCTTATCATCATCGATTTTCTTCATTTGTCTAATCCAAGGGTGTTAATTGGTGGCTGGATGTATCTACATTCCCCTGTGAGTCACTCATGATGTTCCCACCGAGGCTCAAACCCTCTCATGACCCAAGTGGTCTAGTGGATAACACTTTGGCGTTTTAAACTATGGGCACTTATCTGCGGGAAACACGTCAGAACATGATAATATTTCACACTGGTCATAATATAAGATCGAATTCTTTTTTCCTCTCATCTGTTTTGCTTCATTAGAGAGAGAGAGAGTCTACCATATAGGTGGGGATAAGTCTATCCTTTCTCTGCTATTTACTGCATTCGATGTGGTTCAAAAATATATGCAAGGCTTCAGAGTTCAGCCTTTCTTTATGTGAAGAATTTCAACATTGTCAAAATCTATCTTATTTTCAGTGTCTATAGCGTGAATTGATTGGTATAGCTGATCTTTTTTCTCGACTCCTTTATTCTACTTCATTTCTAGGCGGATGTTTCGTGCACAGCTTGTGTTCATTCACAATAACCTTCACCTGTATACTGCTCTCCCCTATATATCAAGCAAGCTTCACATTCTGAGCACTATCCTATAAACACAATTACTTTGTGACATTTTGGGAACCATATCTTTGATATTCACCAAAAGTTTCCCTAGAGAATTAGAGGGTTTGAAATAGACTTTAATATTATATGAAGGAAATAGTCTTCAAAGTTGTTCAGCTGTCTCCTTTCAATATAGAATGGCTATTATCGATCGATAGCCAAGATCTTTCATTTTTTTCCTGTTTTCCCTTCTGGTCCTTTCTATTGATAATATTATTCAACAGCTTTATGGGATAACCATTTCCAATCAAAATTTGTGTTATATTGGTAATTCAAGAGTTGGTTAGTAAGGATCAAACTTGTTTTTACGAGTTTAACCACGGATTGATATCAGTTAGAGAAGCATTGAAAACCAGCCACACGGAGTACTGCAAAGCCAGCTGTTTCATTCTAGTTTGAGAATCTCATCGGCATTACGCACCCACTTGGGTTCGGACTCAGGATGTTCCGGTTACAAGGCTAGCGAACTCGTATACCATTCAGCCACTGAGAGCCGATTCAATGGTCCATGAATTATAACTTCTATCAACTTTTGATTTAGCACGATTTGGCGTTCTGGATTTGAACTCCATTGGGTGAGAGTATTGCTAATGATTCTGGCTCTGCTAACGAGATTTAAGGCTACTGAAGCTTTCATTCTTATTGGATAATCACACTGGAAATTCAAATGCATTCTGTTTTCGTAATCTTTACTTTTCCCTTTCTCTCTCTAGACGTATAATCTCAAAACTGCAACCGAATGATATTTTCCTTATTATGGGTGATCATGGAATGACTCAATCAGGTGATCATGGTGGAGATAGTGATGGGGAGTTAGAAGCAGGACTTCTTGTATTCACTGGTAATCAAAACACTTCTTCGCCATCTCTCTTTTCTTCTTCTTCTTCAAAAGGCATATCATTATCATCAGAAGATAATGTGACAACGAAGAAGAAGCGAAGAAAGCAACGTCTAGCTCAAATTGATCTTGTGCCAACATTATCACTTTTAACCGGTGTTCCCATACCATATTCAAATTTAGGAATATTATGCGAAGATTTACTACTACGAAATCATGTCAATCTGCATAATGGATTAGTATTGAATTTTATTCAGGTAATTGTTTCCTCCTTTTTATTAACTATTTACATGATTAATACTGTGTGTTGACCTCAGATAATCTCACTACCACCGCTACCAGTTCACAACCTGCTTCTCCCCCTACTCCTCCTTACCTGGTATAGTATGATTGCCAGTTTACGCCGACATGATATCCGGCTGTCAACCCAAGCGGGTGTGTACTGCTCAGAAGTTCTCTCTGTCCTTCTTTATGGTTGTCTGTGAGCAAGACATGGCCATTGATAGTGGAAGACATGAAAAGCTTGGCTAGCTGTCTTTGATCATAGGTGTCTGTGTTCTGTCTCCCGTGTTAAGTGGTGGTATAATAGGGTGAGTGATATTAAGGTTGGTGTTGATTGCTAATTAAGGAGGGAGAGAAAATCAATCGACGACGTGGTGAAATTACATCGATTGAGATGGTCAGTGCATGTGTTGCGCATGCATGACTACCCATCGATCGCCTTCCTCGACGGGTAATGTTAGCAGACTGACATACGATCAGGATAAAAAAGAGCAGTCGGTAGTCAAACCAAAACATGTCCCTATCACTCAATAAAATCCACAACAGTTAGTTTAAGCCGGCCAGCCACGCCGGGGAGGTGTAGACTTCCTGACTAGCTGGGGTCCTCGGGACGGTAAAAACCAATGGAGGCTGGAGACAATTGGTGATATGGCTCAAAATCGTTCTCGAAGATGTCTGGCGGAGATGCATCCACTCCTTATAACTTGTAATTTTCAATGAAACTGTATTGTTCTTCGTTATTACTATTCCTTTTGTCTCATGTCTCTGTCTACTGTCTCTATTTTGTATTCATTTCTTATTACTTTCTTCTCTTGTTTTGTGTGCTACAAGGAGGGAGTTTGGCTACTCGAACTGCTGCACATTGGTGCAAAGTTCTATGTTGAAAAGAGAAAGACAGACTAGTGTGATTAAGATTGACGAGAGAAACAGGGCTCTTAGCTGGGCATCTAGTGTGCTGATGAGCGGATAGCTACAAATGACTCATTCATATGAGAAGTGGATATTAACCATGGTGATCCTAGTGAGATGGTGACAGTCGGAGGCTACTGGTTTGAATTCTATCTCGACTTCCAGATTTTTTTTACGCTACATTGATAACTGTTCACCAAGCCAAAACTCTCTTAAGTAGTCTCACCACCAGTTAGTAGATTATCATGTGCGTGCAGAAATAACATGGCGTATCAAAACGGCATATGTTCAGCAGCAGATTACCTCTCTAATTTAAATCCTAATTTGATAAGATGAAACTTTACAATGGTAACCATGTAAAATTGTCACAGTTAAATTTGCACTACTATTTAATAGTAAGTAGTATAAATATATCTTTCTTTTATTGTTCTCCATCCACATTTAGATGTTCACTTTTACGGCGAATTATGTCTATAACATTAGTAAACTACCATTGCCTTCAGAGCTTTCATCTCATATGGAACGTTTAGTGCATAGTTCAACGTACGATTGGATACATCGATTGCCTCCTGAAGAATTGCTGACTAGTTTGAAAAAATTACAATCCATCTTTCGTGATCATTGGACACAATTTAATGAGTTGGAAATATTCCTAGGCTTGCTTCTCACACTGGCTAGTTTAATCAATCTCATTCTCTCAGTCGAACAAGCTCACAGAATGAAAAATCCATATCTGTGTAGTATTTCTTTATGTCTTGCTTGTATCCTATCATTCCTGTGCATGTATTTACAAATTCCTCAAGTTTTATACTTTGTTTTTATTATTTTATTGGTATTATCGCCGATATTTTTTGTATTTTTGCATCATATTACTTATAATCTGTTTGATACGTTTAATAGTAGTATATTTGGTTTTGTTTTACTTATCTTGATGTCATTAAGTTATTTATCGAACAGTTTACTTATTCATGAATTTCATATCACATATTTCTTTATTCAAAGTCTTTTTATTATCTGCTTAGTTTCTGTGATCTTAAATTCCCTCCAACATGACGCCATATTATGCACTACTACTACTACTACTACTACTACTGAAAAAGCTGCCAGTATCAGTAGTATTGTGAATTTTTCACAAAAATGCTGTATCTCACTTCTTTATCGTTCACCTTCTGCCTTATTCATATTCAGTATTTTAATGATTTTTCGAGCGCTAATCTGGCATTTATTAATTTGTCGTGAAGAATTAAGTACAGGCACATCTACGCAATGTCGATCTACACTTGATCCATGGATAACAAAATCATTGAGTAAATTAGATCCAATGAATGAATTCTATCCTATTGGTATTCTACGTGTCTGTTTTGCTATATTTGTGTTAATCACATGTCTGTACACTTATTGTCGGTGGTGTTTATTTTTAAGTGATAAAAGTAAGCCAATAGACAGTAGTACTACTACTACTACTGATTGTGGTATTAGTAGTATGAGTAGCAGCAAGAGTAGGAGGAGGAGGAGGAGTGGATTATTTAAAGTTTTTGAAAAGAGGAGGAGAAGATTCCTGTTGTTTCTACTAATTGGCGCTTTATTATCTTCATTATGGTTAGTAGATTCGGGTCAATCAGTAAACTGGATTAAATTTGTACCAACTAACAGACTGTAAGTTATTGTTTATCTTGATATATTACAACAATTTTTAACTGCGGTAATTTTGTTAACTATTATTACCAGAGGGTTGTATTATTGTAACAACAGAAGACAAGGGTCAGGCAACAGATCGTCTATTAATGAAATCAACACATATTTATAGATTTCCATGTACATTATTATAAAACACAAAATAATCGAGCAAAAAATATTCGTTTTGATAAATGGATCTTCTGGCTCTACACTTATATATATGTTTGTATACACAGAATATTCTAGATTAGTAGTTAATAACAATATTAGTGTTTTTTGTCTAAATAATATCGATTTGTTAAGTGAGATTACAATAGAATTACCACAGTTTATTAAAGATACTTAAATAATAATAATAATAAAGATATAATAGCGAATAGAATATCAACTGAAATTAGGAAAATTCCTCAAAAATTCAGGATCATTCAAACCTAGATGGCCAATTGCGTAAGGATAATGTGTGAACTAGCTTCTTTCGGACACATAAATTAGACTTCTTCATGTGGATCCCGACAGCCAGCCTCAGCAATATTTAGTAATCGAACTCTTAAGGTGAAATTGAGATTTGTTGGTATGCGGTAAATGACCCTGCAAGCATGGTTAACGTCAATTTTATGTTCTGTATCCACAAGATGAGACAAAATAGCGCTACGAATAGATTTTGTTTGTCCTTTGCTTAACCAACCACTATGCAGGGTGATTTTCGGATTTTCGACGAGAAACACGCCTAATTGTACGGCCTATGAAAGTTAATCTTTCATCTGTTTGTGGCTGTTTCTTGAATGTCAGATTATCTATCTGCAAATTTTATCCGCCTACGCAAAGTCTGCTGTGGTTGGTTTTTGAATCAGTCTTTGTTCTTAGTTTTCTCACGGGCAGTACTGGGATGTAAACATTAACGTAAATTACTGTCTACCACTTTTGGCTAGCAACCAGCTCTCATTACATTATTACTATTAATGATATTGTTTCCTTAGGTTTCGAATGAAAGAAAATGGCTCCAACGACTCGTTTCAGCTGTTTTTCTTTTTTTTTTCGAGGTCCTCTTCAACTAGCCGCACCATTACCCACAGTTTCACTCACGATCTCCTCCATATATTACTGTCGAATTGACACCCAACTGGTCCTCTCACATTCTGGCTCCACTTGAGTGATGGCCTGGCTTGTGGTGTCATACGACGGTCTCCTCAGCGTTCGTGTCTTATCCATCTCTATTTTCTCCTACCTATTTTTTTGTACGATAGGATTTTGGTTAGTTTGTTGCCAGCTAGTGTTTCTTGTTGCTAAGTCTTTTTGGCCGGCCATCTGATCGTCAGTTTGGAGTGAGCGATGTGGGCAGCTGTTGATAAAAGTCTGCAGTGGCCTGTTGAAACTACTTTTAGTGATGCACCAAGTTTCTGACCGATATAGAAGAAGTGACCGACTTGACTTTGGTGTTGGAAATCTGAATCTTGTTCTTTATGCTGGCTGGCTGGCTGGCTGGCTGAGTCAGAGCAGATTTCCAAACTAGTTTCAGGTCGGTCATTGTCTGTCTGTCTGTCTGCTTTCGACATAGGACTTTGCACCGATGTGCAGCAGTTCGAATTGCCACACTCCATGTAGCACACAAAGAAAAAGAAAGTAGAAGAAATGCATAATGGAGACAGTAAACAGATATGTGAGACAAAGGAATAGTAAAAACGAAGAACAACATAGTTTCATTTGAGATCATAAGTCACAAGGAGTGGATGCATCTGCGACAGCCATTGACAATGACGATTTTGAGCCATATCACTAATTGTTTCCAGCCTTCATTGACTTTTACCGTCCCGAGAACCCCAACCAGTCAGGAAGCCTACACCTCTCTACGTGGCTGGCTTAAACTAACTGTCGTGGATTTCATTGACTAATGAAGTCATGTTTTGTTTTGACCACCGCTAGCTATTTTCTAGTCTGACCCTGTGTCAGCTAAGATTGCCCATCGGTCGAGGAAGGCGATAACTAGGCATACGTAACACATGTCCCAACCATCTCAGTCGATGTAGCTTCACAGTCTCGTCGATTGTTTTCCCCTCCTTTACCTAGCACTCGACCGATGTCTGACCTCAATATTTCTCACCTTATTATACCACTTCACATGAGAGATAGAGCGCAGGCACCTATGATCGAAGACAGCCCCTCAGGCTGTTCATGTCTTCCACTCTCAGTGGCCAGGTCTGACAGCCATGAAGGAGGACGAAGGGGACTGCTGAGCAGTACACCCGCCCTTTGGTCGGAAGCCGGATATCGCTGAATGTGTATCTTGGCCGTTCCGATTTCGGCTAGCTTTGACATATTCATCCCATCCCCTGGCCTGTGGTTGATGTCGTGTTTCATAGGATTAGTGAATGAAGTAACGTCTGATAAATCTCTGGCTTTGATGTTGATTGGTGCTTGTCGTTGTTGTCTAGGCATCTCGATCACTTATTTCTTCTCTATGTTCACCTGGAGTCGTGTTTTACTCTGCCTGCCTCATCTGCCGGTTTGTTAGTTTTTCGCCTGTAAGTTTTCGAATCTTAGTTGACATTAGACAAAAGACGTCCGTGAAATCCAGGTCTTCTGGAGTCTTCTTATGCACATTGATGCATTGTATCATTTCGCATAACGGCTACACTGCCATAACAATGCTAAATGCGTGAGAAATCACTGTATGATAATGTTTCCACTGAATCTGGAGCCCATTATGCATGGTTTCAAGAGCTTAAGTATTATGCACTAGACCACTTGGATCGTAAAAGGGCAAAGTTAAACTTTTAGCACCACTAATAACCAATCAGCAAACAACCTTGAACGGAACAATCACATGAAAGAGGCATTTATGACAAAAGGAAACGTATATTTATGGAAAAAAGCATAAAACTCTTACAGGGGGTATCTTTCTCTAACATGTGAGAGAAACATCTCCCAGTTAAGCATCGAAATGTCAATAGAAAAGTTACGCCACATTCTGTATATGTATTCATCCAAATGATTATAAATGAGGTTCATTTATAGCCCTTATCCTACTTTACAACCTGTCCCAAAATCCTTTAATATAATTTGTATGTGTCCTCGTAATGGGATCGATAAAATCAGTTGAATGGTTGACTGTATGATGAATATATCCCAGAGATGACAGAGAGTTGTAACCTCTCCACTCATCCGTATGTATTATAGATCCCCATTTTACATGTCTTGTAATAATGGGTATAAGAGTAGTTGCTTTTCTATGTTTCCACGAATCCCTTTCGCAGGGAGGTGTCGTACAAACCGATTATCCAAATATTGTTTGCTCGCTGCCGACCATGGTTTTATTTCTTCTTCACCAATACACTTTCGTCGACGTGCACAACAATGTCTTCTCTATCCAACAAAGAATCGATTTTCTCTATTTTCTACGAAGCAATATCTCTGCAATGCTGATACCATTGAACCGTAGATAAGAGGCTATTCTCCGTCTCAGCAGCTGCGGCTCTCACCGGCTGTTTCAAGACCCAGTAGTTGCAAATATATAAAATTTGCGTTAAGGAGAGATGTGACCTTGCAAAAAAAGTTCCTACGAAATATTAAAATTATCAGCTCATCTCCTATAATACTAACTCGCCTCAAGCATATTGCACAACGATGGACATATTCATCAGTTGACCTGCTAAAGCTTTTTAAAGTCATCACACCACCACACGAACAAATTCTCTCTTTCCGAAGCTACCCTGAATCCAGGCAATACTGGAAAACACTGTCCTCCTCGAATTGCAACCATAACTTCGTTAATGCACTAATTTGAAATGAATCAAGCGCGATGCAACATTGAACTAACATTCGTGAATCTCATTGGATAATTCAACATCGTTCGCTGATTGGTGGTAGTTAGTGGTGCTTAAAGTTTAACGTGGCCAGTGAAAGCCACCTTTTCACCTCGTTTCACAAGAGGAATACCATCGTTCGCTAGGAAATGCAGATACATCCAGATAACGAGCCTGAAATGGTATGAAATGTGCATCTTAGATTTCATTGCTAGCCGCAGAGCTAATGAGCAATCATACAGTCAGATAAAGGGGTCTGAAGATAATACGATTAAGTGGAGTTGTGCTGCTGAAGCCCTACGTTGCGCTCGTAACCCATTGAGATTGGAAGACATGAAAAGCTTGGCTAGCTGTCTTTGATCATAGGTGTCTGCGCTCTATCTCCCATGTAAACCGGTATAATTAGGTGAGCAATATTGAGGTTAGGTGTCGAGTGCTAGGTAGGTGGGAAGAGAAATCAATCGACGAGGCTGTGAAGTTACACCGATTGATCTAGTTAGGATATGTGTCAGCTGACATAGGGTAAGACTGGAAAAGAGCTAGTGGCGGTCAAACCAAAACATGACTTCATTAGTCAATGAAATCCACATCAGTTAGTTTAAACCAGCCACGTCGGGAGGTGTAAACTGGCCTACTGGTTGGGGTCCTCGGGAAGGTAAAAACCAATGAAGGCTGGAAACAATTGGTGACATAGCTCAAAATCGTTCTCAATGGTGCAAATGCATCCACTCCTTGTGACTTATGATTTCCAATGAAACTATATTGTTCTTCGTTTTTACTATTCCTTTGTCTCACATTTCTGTTTACTGTCTCTATTATGCATTTCTACTTTCTTCTCTTGCTTTGTGTGCTACAAGAAGGGAGTGTGGCGACTTGAGCTGGTGCACATATGTGCAAATTTCTATGTTGAAAACAGACAGAGAGATTGACGAAGTTAGAATATACTTGGACTTCTGTACTTCATCCCACAGTCTTGCATTGCCTAAGAGTCCCGGACATTTGCCCAAAACTACATCTAGAACTGAGACTCATCATTCTAGGCGCACAACTTCCAACCAGTGAGCCACATGTTCAAGTCCTGCTCCACCTAACAAGATTTTAACAGCAAGGTGATATCATTAGCCTTCCATACAGTAGGTGTGGCTGATTTACAACTGCAGAGAATTACAGCTGATTGTTGATTGAAATTTCTTTTATCTCTGATTTCCAGCGATTTGCTAACTGGTGTCACTTCGTAAGTCTCATGTCAATGAATGTTGTATAGCATTAGGGGTGAAGAATGAGCTATAACTCACTTCTATTCATGAAGTCATGAAGGTTCAAACCCCACCTCACCTACCAGGGTTTCAACAGCCCAGTGTCATTAGTATCATTAACCTCCAAGCAATAAGTGAATCAACTACGAGGAAACTCAAGAAGTTGCTCTTAGTTCAGTAAGAATGTACAATACTCATCATAAATATACGATTTGGAAACAAAGTGAAACAATGATCAATTCATTTCATAAAGTATGAGACGATGTGTTTCTTCATTTGAGAAATTGAACATATATACAAACTTGAAATAATAGAGAAAATTTGTAGCTCAGGTGGATGATTTGCAATTAATAGTGTTCTCTCTGAGCTGGTTGGTTAAGTTGCGGAGCTTTCATCGTCCTTCTGGACAACATCCTCCTTCAGCGCAATTTTTAGCATAAAGTGAAATGATTTAAATTTATTCATGAGTGATATAATTGTGTCTCCCGGTAACCATCTGTATTACATATGTATTGATCATTTTCTATTGACTTGGATTTTGAACTTTCTAGTCACCTGATTTACTTTTTATTAGTTGGTATATTCGATCTATATTAACGTGTTTGTTGATCGCTGGCTGATTCGTCTGAGTACCAGGCTTCTAGGAATTGCCTGACTGCACTTTTGGTGTTTCCTCTGTCTAAGATTTCGACACATAGACACATATGCACATAGACAATTATGGACATCAGCTTGATTGGGATAATGTTGACCGGATGTCACGCCTACGCCAGAGATGGTGTAAGTCAGCGAAAGCAGCTCGAGCTTTTCGGATCCGTGCTGAGATCCAAGTATGCGGCAAAGGCAGCTGTTGTTGACTGCGTAACTTCATCACCTCTGTCTTCTCTCCCACCTCATTCAACATCTTTAGTTAAGTATAATTTTACGATCAATCCTACTTTCATATAGATCAATCACTAGTGAGTAACCAGTCCTTGGTGTTTTTATTGACCATATTCTATCAGTGAAACAAGTCTGAAGCAAGCGCCAAGTGTTTCACCATTACAACAGTTCACTCAATCAACACCCGAAATTCTTTGATTTCTCCTTATTGACGACGAGTCAATGCATTGGTAGAAGTTAGAATTCATGGACTGGCCAGTGAATAGTTGGTTCCCAGTGGTTGAATGGTATACGAGCTCGCTAGCCTTGTAGTAACCGGAAGATCCTGGGTTCAACCCCCTGGCACGTGGGTGCATACTTCCTGTGATTATTTCCGAATTTGGATGATGAAACAGCTGACTGTCGTCCAGTACTCCCTGTGGTTGGTTTTCTTCACTGGTGGTTCTCTAACTGATATCAATTCTCGGTCAACTCACAAAAAGCATTACAGTATTACAGTTTTATAAGACATCAAAAGGTTGATATCTCTGACTTTTTTTTTTACTTCGGCTATCTCCTACGGGAGGATGAGCCGGCTTCATGAACCATGAAGTTTCATGGGAATTGGGTACGAGTGATGTCCCCAGCATCGCTCGGCCTTTGTTTGAGAGTGTAGCTCTAGCCTTTACACAACCAAGTGTGACCTACAAGGTAGTAGGAGTGGAGTAGGGAGTCCACTATCCATTGGCAGCCAGCCGGTGACTGGAGTCCGGTTCATACGCCCTTTTGAATGGGGCCAGACATCCAGGACATCCAATAAGCCCTTTGTCCATACGGCTGCCGGTGAACTCCGGTGAGCTTCATACGCCAGTCGTTGAAGGTTTGGAATCAGGGTTTAGCCATCTCCCCTAGACTGTCATCCAATGGACAGTCAACCCGGTGAAGTGCGCCGGGCATCCGCTTTTGCCCTCTCACTTTGGTGAAAAACACCGCCACGTGAAGGCAGTGAGTAGGACTTCCTCAGGAGAGGCTATGTAAGACGCCCGGTCATATGGGAGCATTTCAAGAGGTGTGCGGAGGGGTGGCCAACCCGCAGCGCAAGACACCCACCCCCGACCATCCTGAGGCTGCTGCTGCTGCTGTGAAGTGTAGTGACACAGGTTTGAGTCTTCGAAGGGAACGTCGGTTCTTTCAGGATTTTTTGTCGAAGTTTCTAAATCTGGAGAGCTCCTTGTCTATAGCCTTCAACTATTCGCCACCAATTATAGTTTTACTTTATTCTTCTTTTTTTTTCTATATAGGCATACTGTCCGTGTTTGGATTGCACGTATTCTATTGATAATAATATCCTATACATTTAGTCAATTCCTGAAATTGTCATCCTCAATATTCCATCCATACCACCAGTCAATCAATTCAATGGCATCTGGTTATGATAAATTTATGCATGACAGAACTTTACTCAATCTATACACACACTGGACTGTAACTTGTTTAACAGTCTTACCCTTTTGTGTTATCTTAATTTTTATTAATGAATTCCATGTGATTTGGTTAGCTGGATTTCTAATATTTATTCGATTATTATCATTGCTGTTATCACCGCCGGTGTCATACACTTTGTCGTCGTCTTTATCGTCATCATCATCATCATCATCATTGGTGAAGCATTCAAAGACTACTGTAAGATGTCAATATGGAGATGAAATTAATGGTTAGTAGTTTACTATTGTTAACTTTGATTTCCCTCGCCCCTCCACTTTTTTTCACCAACGTTTTCATCGATCTATTGTATTGTCTGTGGTTGTGAGTAAAGGAGAATGATGCTCAGAAAGGTTTCGTGTGCTTTTGGAAGTGTGTGGTGGGGCGGTTGTTACTTCCCGGCTGCCTACACTGGGTACCTGAAATAGAAAGAGGGTTAGTGTTGCGTGACCGCAGAGCCCAGGGGACAACTGCTTGAAGCCAGCCGTTCACACACGGCCTGTATGAACTGGTTTCTGGGGTTGGTTCCGTATTAATAAACTTACCGTCAGTTACGGGCCACCGTAGGGTAAGTCAGAATGCAAAAATTTTGGGTTCGACCTTTTCTAACCCACCTCTCTCCAGAGTGGAGAGACAGCATAGCTGGCCGGCATACTGGTCATCTGAGGGAAACACCTCACTGTTGTTACACCACTGTCCCAGCTGTACTACTTCGCCCTCAGATCCACAACACAGTGTGAACAAAATTCTTACACAATACCGGTAACTGCTTTTAGTCTAATCGCCATCCTAACAACCTTTCTGGCATGCTAAGACCTGCAGGAGCATTGGTTCCAGCCAGTGCAGCTTGTTGAGTCATCGCGAGGTGCAAGCCCGACCACCACGTCAAGGTAGCAGCTATCTCCCGTGTGAAGTGGTATAATAAGGTGAGAAATATTGAGGTCGGGCATCGGTCGAGTGCTATGTAGGTGGGAGAATAAATCAGTCGACGAGGCTGTGAAGTTACATCGACTGAGATGGTTAGGACATGTGTTACGTATGCCTAGACATCGCCTTCCTCGACCTACAGGCAATGTTAGCTGACTGACGTAGAGTCAGACTGGAAAAGAGCTAGCAGATGTCAAACGAAAACATGTCACCAGTCAATCAAATCTACAACAGTTAGTTTAAGCTATCCATGCAAGGAGGTGTATACTTCCTGACTGGTTGGGGTCCTCGGGACGGTAACAACCAATGAAGGCTGGAAACAGACAATTGGTAATATGGCTCAAAATCGTCGATGTCTATGATGACCGGCGCAGATGCATTCACTCCTTGTGACTTATAATTTCCAGTAAAACTATATTGTTCTTCGATATGATTATTCTTTTTACCTCATATCTGTATTTAATGTCTCTATTTTGCATTCATTTCTTTTTACCTCCTTTTCTTGTTTTGTGTTCTGAATGAAGTGTGGCGACTTGAACTTCTGCACATCGGTGGAGAGTTCTATGTTGAAACCAGTCAGTCAGTAATGAATACATCGAGGTGATATTCATTTGTGATTCATGCCCCCGTCTCAAAACAAGTAGTTCAGTTGAGAGGCTTTTTTTTTCATCGATTTCATTTTCTTTAGTTGTACGACTTCATATACAAGCAATTAAGTTCTTCATTAAAGAGGATATAGCATGTAAGAGAGGAGATGAGTTTTCACAATCATAAGTGCTTATACTAATCATTACAGGAATTCAATAGCTACTAACTATTCAGCAATAGAATTCACTCTTAAACTGAATAAGAGATCTAAAATTCCCTTTTTTTGTTGTCCAACAAACAAGAAGAGCTAATGAAACCTTAAGAAGATCAGTCCATAGAAAGCCTCCACATGGAATGCTCAGCTACACTTAGATATCTAATGAACGAGAACAAAATGCACTTATATCTCTTGTCACTCACATCCGAGATATTTGCAGTCTTGGTACTCTAGAAGAAGGGCAACTTCCATAAGGGAAGAATTTCAACATCTATAAGAGCAAAATTCTTCACAACTCTAAGAGTAGGGTTCTAAAGTTGTCTATTGATGTGAAGAAGCCTGAAGATCTCACAAGATCTCACATTTGACCGCTTCTATGTGCATACCATACATCAATGTACCTATTCCTGAATTGAATTTTTGATTTTCCCGTCGATTGATTGGACCGAAGTGCTCGGTCTCAGGTTGACATGTCGGCTTCTTGTGCAGATGCTTCGACGATGTCTGGGCATTTAGTTAGTATTTAATTGGTGGATGGTGATTAGCAGTGGAATCCAGGGTGCGCATTTCGTCCTATTTGGGGCTCGTCATCTGGATGTACCTGCATTTCCCAGTGAGTGATGACGTTCCCACTGAGGCTCGAACCCAGTACCCATAGTTTCAAACGCCAAAGCGTTATCCACTAAACCACTTGGGCCGCGAGAGCCACTGCCTCTTGTGCAACGGGTCATATTATTATTGAATTGAATTTTTGATTTTTCCGTCGATTGATTGATTGGAATCAAAAATTCAATTCAATAATAATATGACTCGTCGCACAAGAGGCAGTGGCTCTCGCGGCCCAAGTGGTCTAGTGGATAACGCTTTGGCGTTTGAAACTATGAATACTGGGTTCGAGCCTCAGTGGGAACGTCATCACTCACTGGGAAATGCAGGTACATCCAGATGACGAGCCCCAAATAGGACGAAATGCGCACCCTGGATTCCACTGCTAATCACCATCCACCAATTAAATACCTATTCCTGAACGTAATAGGAATTGAATAGAGGGATGCGAAGAGGGGGGCTGATAGAACTAAGTAATGACATCAATAATTATTGCACAGTGGAGTTGTAATCAGGATGCGCGTATAAAAACAAACAAAGGAAATGTACGAATTCGAAAGAATCGAAGAGTTATAAAACAAGGCAAAAAAACATGTAAATAAACTGGTCACTCATGAAATCACGTGCACATACACACACACGCTCAGTTGTGCAACACCACTGTATGTATGTTCTGTGGTTGTTGTTGTTTATGGCGTTAACACTTAACTAGACTGGTACTACGTCAATGTTAATAACTTGGTAAGTAATTTCAATAGACAAGACAAGAAGTCTGTCATTGATTGATTATCATATGACTATAGATGAGTTTATCTGATGATGACGACGATGATGGTGTTGATATTGATAGTACGTATCATTACTTTTATGTGTTTCTTCTTAGCAATGAAAAACATTTTCAAAAATACAGTTACCTACTTATGAGTAGTACAGGATATCCCAACAAAACAACTCTATTATAATTTTAGTGTTGGTTTGTAGGGATTTGATTGGTTACAGGATTTCATCATGAGCTGACATCAGTTAGAGAACCGCTGGAAAACCACCTGGGAGTACTGAACATTTGTTTCGTCCTAGTATGGGGCTCTTCAGCAGTACGTCCCAAACTAGGACGAAACAGCTTTTCAGTACTTCTAGGTTTTCCAATGGTTCTCTAACCGATGTCACTTCATGATGAAACCCTCTAACCGACCAAATCCCTACAAACCAACACTTGAATATCAATGAGATGGTCACTAGCGACTGGCCCTATTCAAGTAGGTGGCGCAGTGGTTAGGACTCTCGCCGACCATGCACATGGTCCAGGGTTCGAGCCCACGCCGGCGCACACCTGATATCTATGGTTGGCCTGCAAAATTTGGGCTACCGATATCCATGCTGAAAATTCCATACTTGTACTAAAAATACAGTGTGGAATCAAGATGTAAATCAAAAATAAAAAAAATAAAAAAAGTAGTTACCTGGGGTTCTAGTGGGAAGCCGTGGCCAGTAGGGTACAGCAGGTCGGGTGTGAGGACAAATACTTGCCGAAGACATTGGCTATGGATCGCGCTATGTCGCGAATTGGCAGAAGTTAGAACTTATGAGCTGGCCATTGGATCAGTCGGGTCCCAATTGCTCAATGGTATACGAGCTCGCTTGCCTTGTAACTGGAAGGTCCAGTGTTCGAACCCTTTGTGGTGGATGCGTACTGCTAAAGAGTCCCAAGGTGGGACGAAACAGCTGTCCAGTATTCCCAGGTTTTTCAATGGTTCTCTAACTGATGTCAGCTCATGATGAAATCCTGGAACTGTTTTGAAAAGAAATCGAAGGTATAAAATATATATGACGATTTTTACTGAATGAATTTCAAAGGGAGTAGGTATGCTCACCGATGGTATTAATTCCCGGTGCCACTACACACATATATCGTGAACTAGTAGAAGTTGGAATTCATAAACTAGTGGCTGAATAATCTGCCAAGCTACAGCCTCCCTCAACGAGCCTTATGAACTGATGTAGGATTAGGTTTGGAAAGGGTTATGCGGTGTTCAAACCAAAACCTGGCGTCTTTAACAATCGAAAGAAGCTACTTGTCAAATGTAGACTATCTGGCTGGAGGGGAGGGGACCTTAGGATGCTAAGAACCAATGGCTAGAGACTATTTAGTGATATTGCTCAAAACTATTGTCAGCGGTGTAGATACCTTTTACTCATGCAATTCCATGTTACTATTCCTTATCCCGCGCGTTTCTGCTTCCTTTCAATCTCTTTCTTCTTTTTTCCTCTACCTTTGTGTGTTAAGTTGAATGTGGTAATTGAATTACTGCATATCTGTGCATAGTTTTGTGATGAAACAAAGTCTGGTTGGCGCAGTAACCTGATGGCCATGAATTCAATCCTCACTGCAGTCATAGCTGCATCTACCTGCCTGTCTGTCTAGTTTCAACATAAAACTTTGCACAAGTGTGCAGCATTTCAAGTCGCCACACTTAACTCCTTATAGCACACAAAGCAAGAGAAAAAAGTAAAGAGAAATGAATGCAAAACAGAGACCTGAGGTAAAAAGAACAGCAATATCGAAGAACAATATAAGTTTCACTAGGAATTATAAGTCACAAGGATTGGATGCATCTGCGCCATTGAGAACGATTTTGAGCCATATCACCAATAATTTCCAGCCATTTAATTTTTACTGTTCCGAGGACCCAAACCAGTCAGGAAGTATACTCCTTCCTACGTGGATAGCTTAAACTAACTGTTGTAGATTTCATTGACTGGTGCCATGTTTTCGTTTGATCGCTGCTAGCTCTTTTCCAGTCTGACTCTACGTCAGTCAGCTAACATTGCCTGTAGGTCGAGGAAGGCGATGTCTAGGCATACGTAACACATGTCCTAACCATCTCAGTCGATGT